CACTTGAATAGTAAACAATCCAATGAAATGGACAAACCACTTGAAAATTAAACAATCCAATGAAATGGACAAACCACTTGAATAATAAACAATCCAATGAAATGGACAAACCACTTGAATGGTAAACAATCCAATGAAATGGACAAATCACTTGAACAGTAAACAATCCAATGAAATGGAAAAAAACATTCAAATTAGGCAGAGGGTTCTCCGAACCCGCCTATTCACATAGTTCATACCCACCATAGACTCCAGTCAGTCAAAATAACTATTTTGAATTGTAGGCAGAGTCAGACGCCGATAGTTAGCGGGTTTTCCAAGCAAACAGAAAATGATGAAAGTCTTTTTTCCCAGTTCGGGATGGGCTTGTTTGTCCAAAAGATGCGCTCCCCAACCTTGGAGAGAGGCATCTGTTACCAGAGTCATATTTGCGGCGAGTGGGTCCAAGGGGACCCCCTGTCCGAGGTTGGCCAGTGACGCCCCCCAGGGCAGGGCTTCCTTCGCTTGGTCTGAGATCAATACCCGCCTGTCTAGTTTCCGTAGGTGAGCTCGGTGTTGTAGCAACAAGAATTGTACCTGGCGGCTGCGTAATGCGGTCTGAGGAACTACCCTTCAAACCGAAGTCATCATTCCGATTCCATTAGTTCTCAGAGGGGACACTGAGGGAACGCTGACGTTCAGCGCTTGAAATAGATATACCAAGCTTACCTGTGTGTCGAATTCCATGCCCAGGAACACCAATCTGATTTACTAAAGAGCCCAACTGGTGAAGTAAATCTTGTGTTAGCCTTACTTGCTCGGCTAATAACCCCTTGTTAGAGTTATGTAATAACCAGTCGTCTAGGTACGGATTGATGTGTAGCGAAGTTTGGTAAAGCAGCACCACCTGTTTCATTCATTCTAGTGAAACATAGGGGACTGTGTATAACGCAAAGGGGGGGGCACCCGAGATTTGAATACTTGGCCGAGCTGGGCGACTTGAAGGAAATGGCAATTTGTCGGGTGCATCGGTATGTGCAGGTAGGCCCCACTTAAGTCTAGTGAGGCTAGCTAGTCGAAACAGTGGATGGAGAAAAGAACGCTGCATGGCGTCTCCATGCGGAACTGATCGAGGAGCACGTACTGAGTCAGTCTGGACGCCCACCACCTGTAGATTTGGTACTACAAACACATTTGAGTAGAAGCCTTGACTTAATGCCGGCTGATCTACCTTGTGTATGACAGGGGAGATGGAGTTTTAAGCGGTACGCTATAACCGTGTGTCACCACTTGGAAGGTCCAGGGACCGGTCACCTGCTGCTTCCAAACCAGACTACACCGGCACAACCTGTGTGCAACAGGGATATGTGGCCATGGGTTCGGCAGTTGCAAGGTGTGGGTGCTCTCTTCTCCTATGAGGTGAGTTTCCCCAAGGCCTGAAGTAGTCACTAAGTTGTGACTTGGTCTCTCGCCAAACACATGCCTATCTTGCCGGTCACAGAGGTTAGCGTCAAACATGCTTCCCCCCACTGCCCGGGTGGACGACTGCCCAAGGAGGATGAGGAGCCTCCACCTGGTCCCTTCTTCCCTGGGGGCACACCGCCGGTGGGGGTATATACATCGTATCACTGGGATCGATGGTACTCCACATCACCCCAACGACATGGCTCACCGAGTCATTACGAATGGAAGACTCTGAGGGACTGCCCGAGGTACTGGCTATATCTGACGCGAACGAACTGCCTCCTTTCAACTTAAATATGTGAGCGAGAGCGTGTTCGACTGTGTGTCTTATGACAGGGTTGGCTCCCTCTGGGTCGGTAAGAAGGGAGTCAAAACCCACAGCAGAGCCTGACCCGAAATCGGAGGCTTGGCTGCCAACATCCCCGTTGGCATTCAGTGCCTGAGGTCCCAGAGGAGACCCGGTGTAACTAGCCTGAGCCTCTGCCAACTCAAATCAGTGGGAGAGTCGAGGCTGGGAACTGGGGAGTTCCCCAGAAGAGACATATTTTGAATGCGAGTAGAGACAGCTCGCTCCGACTGCATCTGATCCACCCGGCCTGCCAGGGACGCAATTTGCCTTTACAGTCCTTCGACCAAAGCCCTCATCTCAGAGGCAAACCCGGCGCCGTGCGAGGACGGATCCACGAGGAGACCTGCAACGGGCACCATAGAAAGACATCCAGGGGCACAGCCTCGCCATTGCAGGTAAAATCGGGCAAACCACCGCCTGAAACAACAGACTGTGAGGATGCCCTCCAATAAGCGGTACCTCCACCGTCGGGCCTCCTGCTTGACGTCTCACAAAGTACCGGTAGCCAAGCGTGAGGACTTTCCACTCATGCCAACACGCAACTCACTTTAACCGATTTTTATTTAACGCGTTACCAATGAAATAGACAAGCCACTTGTACTGTATAGTGAACAATCTAATGAAACAGACAAACCACTTGTACAGTAAACAATCCAATGAATTTGCACAAAATTCTTTCCATATTACTTCAAATTATCATGTATCTTCACTACTACATTTTAACAGTGATCTACCATAATGTACACTCTGGTTTTGTATTTAAAAAGTTTTTTTTACTATAACAATTCATTTCAAGATATATTACATGTATAAATCAAAAATTATCCATATTGCTTCTTTGAAATGTTTTTATTCTGAGAGTTTCAGTTTATAATGTACTTCTGAGAGTTCTTCTAACTTCTTAGCTGCCTGCAAAGAAAAATAATGGTTTAGTATTTGGTAAATGAAACAAAAGGCATTAATACTCAAGTGAATGAGAAAACAGGCATTAATACTCAAGTGAATGACTCAGTAAATGAGACAACAGGCATTAATACTCAAGTGAATGACTCAGTAAATGAGACAACAGGCATTAATACTCAAGTGAATGACTCGGTAAATGAGACAACAGGCATTAATACTCAAGTGAATGACTCAGTAAATGAGACAACATGCATTAATACTCAAGTGAATGACTCAGTGAATGAAACAAAAGGCATTAATACTCAAGTGAATGAGACAACAGGCATTAATACTCAAGTGAATGACTCAGTAAATGAGACAACATGCATTAATACTCAAGTGAATGACTCAGTGAATGAAACAAAAGGCATTAATACTCAAGTGAATGAGACAACAGGCATTAATACTCAAGTGAATGACTCAGTAAATGAGACAACAGGCATTAATACTCAAGTGAATGACTCAGTAAATGAGACAACAGGCATTAATACTCAAGTGAATGACTCGGTAAATGAGACAACAATCATTAATACTCAAGTGAATGACTCAGTGAATGAAACAAAAGGCATTAATACTCAAGTGAATGACTCAGTAAATGAGACAACAGGCATTAATACTCAAGTGAATGACTCAGTGAATGAAACAAAAGGCATTAATACTCAAGTGAATGACTCAGTGAATGAGACAACAGGCATTAATACTCAAGTGAATGACTCAGTGAATGAGACAACAGGCATTAATACTCAAGTGAATGACTCAGTAAATGAGACAACAGGCATTAATACTCAAGTGAATGACTCAGTAAATGAACAACAGGCATTAATACTCAAGTGAATGACTCAGTGAATGAAACAAAAGGCATT